GTCTCAGTGTGTCTCAGTGTGTCTCAGTGTGTCAGTGTCTCAGTGTGTGTGTCTCAGTGTCTCAGTGTGTCTCAGTGTGTCTCAGTGTGTCTCAGTGTGTCTCAGTGTGTCTCAGTGTGTCTCAGTGTCTCAGTGTGTCTCAGTGTGTCAGTGTCAGTGTGTCAGTGTCTCAGTGTGTCTCAGTGTGTCTCAGTGTGTCTCAGTGTGTCTCAGTGTCTCAGTGTGTCTCAGTGTGTCTCAGTGTCTCAGTGTGTCTCAGTGTGTGTCAGTGTCTCAGTGTGTCAGTGTCTCAGTGTGTCTCAGTGTGTCTCAGTGTGTCAGTGTCTCAGTGTGTCTCAGTGTCTCAGTGTGTCTCAGTGTGTCTCAGTGTCTCAGTGTGTCTCAGTGTGTCTCAGTGTGTCTCAGTGTGTCAGTGTCTCAGTGTGTCTCAGTGTGTCAGTGTCTCAGTGTGTCTCAGTGTGTCTCAGTGTGTGTGTCTCAGTGTGTCTCAGTGTGTCAGTGTCTCAGTGTGTCTCAGTGTGTCTCAGTGTGTCAGTGTCTCAGTGTGTCTCAGTGTGTGTGTCAGTGTGTCAGTGTCAGTGTCAGTGTCTCAGTGTGTCAGTGTCTCAGTGTGTCTCAGTGTGTCTCAGTGTCTCAGTGTGTCTCAGTGTGTCAGTGTCTCAGTGTGTCTCAGTGTGTCAGTGTGTCTCAGTGTGTCTCAGTGTGTCTCAGTGTCTCAGTGTGTCAGTGTTCAGTGTGTCTCAGTGTGTCAGTCAGTGTCGTGTCAGTGTGTCAGTGTGTCTCAGTGTGTCTCAGTGTGTGTCAGTGTCTCAGTGTGTCTCAGTGTGTGTGTCTCAGTGTGTCTCAGTGTGTCTCAGTGTGTCTCAGTGTGTGTGCTCAGTGTCTCAGTGTCTCAGTGTGTCAGTGTCTCAGTGTGTCTCAGTGTGTCAGTGTCTCAGTGTGTCTCAGTGTGTGTCACTGTCTCAGTGTGTCTCAGTGTGTCTTCATGTGTCTCAGTGTGTCTCAGTGTGTCTCATGTTCAGTGTCTCAGTGTGTCTCAGTGTCTCAGTGTGTCTCAGTGTGTCAGTGTCTCAGTGTGTCTCAGTGTCTCAGTGTGTCTCAGTGTCTCAGTCAGTGTGTCTCAGTGTGTCTCAGTGTGTGTGTCTCAGTGTGTCTCAGTGTCTCAGTGTGTCTCAGTGTGTCTCAGTGTGTCTCAGTGTGTCTCAGTGTGTCTCAGTGTGTCAGTGTCTCAGTGTGTCTCAGTGTCTCAGTGTGTCTCAGTGTGTCTCAGTGTGTCAGTGTCTCAGTGTGTCTCAGTGTGTCAGTGTCTCAGTGTGTCTCAGTGTGTCAGTGTCTCAGTGTGTCAGTGTGTCTCAGTGTGTCTCAGTGTGTCAGTGTCTCAGTGTGTCAGTGTCTCAGTGTCTCAGTGTGTGTCAGTGTGTCTCAGTGTGTCTCAGTGTGTCAGTGTCTCAGTGTGTCTCAGTGTGTCAGTGTCTCAGTGGTGTCTCAGTGTGTCTCAGTGTGTCTCAGTGTGTCAGTGTGTCTCAGTGTCAGTGTGTCAGTGTCTCAGTGTGTCTCAGTGTGTGTCTCAGTGTGTCAGTGTCTCAGTGTGTCTCAGTGTCTCAGTGTCTCAGTGTGTGTCAGTGTCTCAGTGTCTCAGTGTGTCTCAGTGTGTCTCAGTGTGTCAGTGTCTCAGTGTGTCTCAGTGTGTCAGTGTCTCAGTGTGTGTCAGTGTCTCAGTGTGTCTCAGTGTGTCTCAGTGTGTCTCAGTGTGTCACTGTCTCAGTGTGTCTCAGTGTGTCAGTGTCTCAGTGTGTCTCAGTGTCTCAGTGTGTCTCAGTGTGTCTCAGTGTGTCACTGTCTCAGTGTGTCTCAGTGTGTCAGTGTCTCAGTGTGTCTCAGTGTGTCAGTGTCTCAGTGTGTCTCAGTGTGTCAGTGTCTCAGTGTGTGTCAGTGTCTCAGTGTGTCTCAGTGTGTCACTGTCTCAGTGTGTCTCAGTGTGTCAGTGTCTCAGTGTGTCTCAGTGTGTCAGTGTCTCAGTGTGTCTCAGTGTCTCAGTGTGTGTCAGTGTCTCAGTGTGTCTCAGTGTGTCAGTGTCTCAGTGTGTCTCAGTGTGTCTCAGTGTGTCAGTGTCTCAGTGTGTCTCAGTGTGTCTCAGTGTGTCAGTGTCTCAGTGTGTGTCAGTGTCTCAGTGTGTCTCAGTGTGTGTCAGTGTCTCAGTGTGTCTCAGTGTGTGTCAGTGTCTCAGTGTGTCTCAGTGTGATTGACAGGTCAAAGTTTTTTAAAATGGAGAATCAGGAGCAAAGAGACAAAAATGTCACAGATTTAAAAAACAACAACAAAGTGTTTGGATTTTTATTTATCGTAAATGTTTTTCCATCGACCTAAAGTATTTTATATTTATATAAATGTAAAGTGTGTGTATTTTTTTTTATTATTATTTGCAAACTACATAGATTACAAAGTGTGTAAAGTAAAGTGTGTGTATAAGTGTGTGTGTTTATATAAAAGTACACACGTACATGTGTGTGTTTATATAAAAGTACACACATGTACATGTGTGTGTTTATATAAAAGTACACACATGTACATGTGTGTGTTTATATAAAAGTACACACATGTACATGTGTGTGTTTATATAAAAGTACACACATGTACATGTGTGTGTTTATATGAAAGTACACACATGTACATGTGTGTGTTTATATAAAAGTACACACATGTACATGTGTGTGTTTATATAAAAGTACACACATGTACATGTGTGGTGTTTTATATAAAAGTACACACATGTACATGTGTGTGTATAGTGTCTAAGAGTTTATATAAAAGTACAGTTGTGTGTGTAAAGGTACAGTTGTGTGTAAAAGTACAGTTGTTGTTTGTGTGTTTCAGTTTTGGTTTTGTTGCTTTGAGACAAAAATCCCAAAGGAAAAAAAACTGAAAAACATCAAAACAAGACACACTAATGAGACACACACACACACACATTATACACACACACCCCATACACACACATACACACACACACACACACACACACATATACACATTTATATATATATATATATATATATATATATATATATATATAATATATATATATATATATATATATATATATATATATAGTGTGTGTGTGTGTGTGTATAATGTGTGTATGGGGTGTGGGTGTGTGTATAATGTGTGTGTGTGTGTGTGTGTGTGTCGGGTCCCAGAGGAGGAGGAGTCTAAGTGATGTGTTCTGTTACCACGACGACCAACGCTAACGAGACGCTAACGACCCACAAGGACTTCAATTAACTGAACACTGTAAATACACAAGAACACTAATGATACTAATACTGCAAATGTTACTACTACTACTACTACTACTACTGATACTACTACTGATACTACTAGTACCACCACCACTACTGCACCTGCTACTATTAAAGCTCAGACTTATAAGGACTTTGTTGAAGTTTGTTTGTTTAACAAAATAAAAATCCCAATTCTCCTCTTTCTCCTGAGTGCAGTACTTTTACTCCTGAGTGCAATACTTTTACTCCTGAGTGCAGTACTTTTACTCCTGAGTGCAGTACTTTTACTCCTGAGTGCAGTACTTTTACTTGAGTTTAAATAAATGAATCTAAAGATGAAGTAAAAAGAAGAAGAGTCTGACCTGAGCGTCTCGTCCTCGTCTCTCCCTCTCTCCACACGCTCTCCTGTTTAACCCAACCTCGCATGCCCCAACCCTGCCCCAGATGCCCCCCCCCCCCTCCCATGCCCCTCCCACTGCCCCCCCCCCCCCCCCCCGCCCCCTCCACTGCCCCTCTGGAGCAGAATAAACCAAAACACGTTTAACTTTTAATAAAAGAACTGTGTATCATAAATGTGTCCACCAGGGGGCGACAACAGCAAAAACACAAACTCCAGAGTCAGAGGGAGTTTTTGTAGAAGCTGCTGTGGAGGAGACGAGAACATCAGAAACAGAAACTCTTCTCAGAGCTGCAGTAAAATCATTAAAAACACAGAAAATAAAACATAAAATAAAATAATCCAACTTTCTCTAGTGTGAGACTTTTACAAAAATCAAGATTCAAACTAAAATATTTCACACACACAAGTCTGAAGATAAAAGTGACGTCCAGAATCACAGACGAGTGTGAGTCGTGTTCAAGTGTTGGAGCGAGTGGAACATTCAGAGGAACAGAAGATTTAGATTTAAAAAACAAAACAAAAAACAGGTTTTTAGATCTAATACAGAAACTGAACCATGTTTCTTTAGTGACAGTATATCTATCTATATATCTATATCTATATCTATATCTATATCTATATATATATATATATATATATATAATATATATATATATATATATATATATATGGTCATATCAGGAAAAAGGAACACGAGAAGCTAGGAAATACCAGGGGCTCAAGGAAGAGCTGGAGAGAGTCTGGAAAGTAAGGCATCAGTGGAGCCTGTGGTGATCGGACACTCGGGCTGTAACCCCCAAACTGGAAGAGACACAACAGATACCGGGAAAAACAATGGAACATCTCAGTCCAGAAAAGTGCAGCACTGGGAACAGCAAAGATACTGAAGAACTGTCAAGCTCCCAGGTCTCTGGTAGACGACCTGAGCTGAATGAGGGTGAGAGAACAACCACGTGAAGGTGAGAAACACTTATATTATTATATATATATATATATATATATATATATATATATATATATATATATATATATATAGATAGATAGATAGATAGATAGATAGATATACTCTGACCTGACTGACCTGACTCATTAGGACCTGATGGAGACTCATCATCAGGAGCCACAAGAAAAACTCTCACTGTGTGTTGAAAATTATTCAATTGAACTGATGCCCTCATGTGTGTGTGTGTTAGGTGCCCTCGTGTGTGTGTGTGTGTGTGTCAGGTGCCCTCGTGTGTGTGTGTGTGTGTCAGGTGCCCTCGTGTGTGTGTGCATGTGTCAGGTGCTCTCCTTCACACAGACGCGACTTGTCTCAGTGT